CCCCACACACACACACACACACACACACACACACACACACACAGCTGTGAGCAATAAGCTTCCCACCCCCAACTCCTCCAGCATCAACCGTCTGAATGCGTGCGTAAAAGGCAAGTTTACCGAAACCGGTTGGCTGGGCGGTGCACACACAAACACGCACGCATCCACTCGAACTCGTGGATGAACTTCAGCTGGATAATGGATTAACGCAGCAGACAGATAGCAAAAACGAACCGCATACTATTAACTCCAGATGTCAATGTATTGGAAGAAAACACCCACCCACGACGGAATGACTCACAGTTTGAAGTAGTTGAATAAGCGAGCGTCGGTGCGGACGGAGAGATTCTGCGTGGGGTATTTAACTTCCTTCTGGTACTTAAAGCTCTACCAACTGTGTTTTTATGGGGAAGAGAAGCGCTGTGCTCGACCCGCCATACGGACTGGACTGACGGTTGCTGCGCGAGGCACTGGTACCAGATATGGATAGCGCGCGGGATACCTCTGGGCGCTGCTGCGCATCTTCATAAAGTGCGACACTTTGAGACTGACAACGCCGAAGACTTCATTTGTCCTGAGTCCAGTTGCTGACAAACGGAGGACCAGGTGGACCCAACCAACACTCTCATTTAGGTTTGAGAGAAACCTCCAAAGAACTTTACACATCCTCACAGGAAGCTTAGAAGTAGAGAACATGTGTCAAGAGGTCGCGAGGAGATGCCCCGCGCTGCTGCTGGCTGTGTCGCTGCTCCTCGTGGGTTCGGGGACCGGGTTTCCGACCAGACTCAAGAACGCTGCTCACAAGGTACGGTTCACATATTGGTTCAATGTCGGCTTTTTGTCAAGTTTAGCAAGTTGCAGCAACAAGTTTCAAAAAGCTGCGAAGTCTTAAAATCACACCTGCCGCCAAAGAAAACCATTTTTTCTCAAATACTTCAGCTAAAGTTAGCTTGGTGGAGCATCTTTGCTAACTGTTGTAAAATGTCGATAGTCTAATTTTGTGGTCAGCTTTATTGCTTAATATCATATCTTCATTAATGTCCTACTTTTTATTTCAATGCTTTGGCAACTTTGAATGCCAATAAAGTCACTAAATTATACAAATATCACAAAACTAATACTAAAATCATCTAAAATTGTGATGTGACAGAATTGCCATACTCATATTGAATAATGTCATTAGTAAGTATTGGGTACGACACACTCTAGAATCAGGTGCCTTTAAGGCATTTTGAAAAATATTACGAGTTATTCATTTGTTATTTCCAACACATTCTATGTTTATTTGCTCGTCTTTTAAGTGGACCTTCTGTTTCCATCACATGATTGAATGAATGAAGTGATGTGAAAGGACAGAATCTCTCCTCTTCACTGGTACATGCTGGGCTGTGTGTGCTGCATACTGTGTCTATGGGAATGTTGATGTTACACACAGACATATTTGGATATCAAAGCCTTTTAGTGTGTGTTTGGGTCAGAGTTCAGCTTTTGCCTTTGAACTCTCCTTCTTGTGTGGCCTCCCATAGATTCCCTATTGGGACTCTCTCATCATCTGTCTGACTGATGTCAAAGCAGAACTAGGGAGGGAGGAGGAGAAGGAAACGATTAGTGAGAAGAAGAAGAAATCTCCCTGTGGCTGTTCATTTCCTTCACCAAAAGGCTGCCGTTGGTGACTCTGTGCCCTTGCCTGTGACCTGCTGGATGGAGAGGAGAGATTAGCAGAGGAAAAGAGGAGGAGGTGCCCAGTAACGAGATGCTTATGTAACCAGAATAAGGCCCTCGGCATCTCTCACACTGGTGCTCGGGTCAAGTGTCATTCATCTGATTGTTTACATTGGCTCTTTTTTGTGTTAATGTGGAATTTCCTGTTTTTGGTTTTACCCCCATCCCTCAGCGAAGAAGAAAAGGAGGGGGGGGGGGGGGGGGGGGGGGGGGGTTTGTGTTGAAGTGGCCTCTTTTCTAAATCTCTGGACCTGTTTGCCCTGACTGTTTTGTACCCCCACTTTCCACCCCGACCTCCACAACCTCACCCTGATTCCACCAGGCATGCATTTGTTGTCCCGTTTCCATTTGCTAAAGATGGCGATCAAAGAGCGTGCATAGTTTCTTGTTCTTGGGTAATGGTTTGGAAACAGCCAAGTGCAGAGGCCTTTGATATCTGCGGGCACATAAATCAGGGCTGCCACACCGCCTGCCCCCCCCACCCCACCGTATTCCGTCGCTGCTCCTCACCTCGGCTCCTGCTGCCCCCATCCCGTCTCCCTGACCTGAATGTGTGTCACCATCAGCAGTATCTATGACAGTAGCTCAAAATGGATCCAGCCTTTTCAGTTTAGTAAGAGGACACAGTGCATGCAACTAATGTTTGTCTAAGAGAGAAGCAGCCTCCAGACCAGACCGAGGTCCCCCACTGCATCCAGATAGTCTCACTCTTAAACACACTGCATGCCATCAGCCGTCGGCCTTTGATCAGAAGCGCCCCACTACAGAGAGGAGGAGAGCAGGATCAGAGAGAACGAGGGGGAGAAAGAGAGGAGGAGAGTGATATACAGGGCGAAAGAATACTGGATCCAGATGTGTAACAAGACGCGATGAGGAGGGTGTGAAAGTATGTGACTCTGGACCCTCTGTGTCTGTGGGTGTGGAGGTGGAGGAGCATGTGTGTGAATTGGTGTGTAATGTGAATCTTGTCACTGCTGGTCAGATTTGACAGTGATGCACTCATGCTGCTAATAACAGGCCAGTGACACGGTCAAATGGAGCATAATTTTATTCTTCAATAACATCTGATATGAGACACCAGATGTTGGGGTTTTTAATGCTTGCATTCTTATAAGAAGGAATACATCTTTTATACATAAGCAATGCACAAAGAGTTGGCTTTTTAAGTAAGAAAGTTATTTAAAGAAATAGACACTAACCAAATAATGACCTCTATGCAACATTAGTTTCATTATTGATTAATCTGATGATTCATTGATACATCATTTAACCTACTGCATAAAATGTCAGGCAATAATAAAAAATGTCCATTCCCGTTTCCCAGAGTCCAAGCTGACGTCTTCAAATGTCTTGTTTTGTCTGAACAACAGTCCAACACCAAAAGATGCTCCTTTTACAATGACATTAATCAGAGAAAATCAACACATTTTTACAATGAGAGGCTTCATCTCTAGATTTGTTCTCATGTTTGCTTGAAAAAATGACTTGAAGGATCGATTTTCTGTCCATCAGTTAATGGATTAATGGCTTCAGCTCTACTAACATCATATCCAGTGGCTAAAATCTCAGAGATAAAGGCTGAACATGCTACTTGTCATCACCAGTTTACAGATATCTGGGGAGGGGGCCAACTTCTCTTCATCCATCATTTATCATGCTTGACGGGCTTCTCCTCTAAACAGGCACATGCTTGAGTTTGACCGACCACATAACCTCTTTATGGGACAATCACAGGCCGTCAGTGAAAAGTACGCTCTGTTCTAGAGGCCATAAGTATAAATCATCAACCATTGGGTCATTGATTCAGACAACTCTTCTCCTCTTTAGGCCTCCAACTGCAACTGGTTTGTTCTGAGCAGACCACAAACTGGCTCATGTCAAAGCTCAAGGTCCAGTCCAATCCTGTGCTTGAGCCAATTTAGCATATTCAGGATGATATAGACAGACCAGGGTTCATTACAGGCATAGCTTTTGTGTTTTACCAGTATCGGGTATGAAATAGATATGCGTCTCATTATGAAACAGACACATGCACACTGGAGAATGAAACCAAAGACAAATCCATTTTCAGTGACTATAGTCCAGATACAGTAGACAGATCGACAATTCCCCGCCGTTATAATGTCACCATTAATCCCCATAAATCTCAGAGATCAACATGTCTTCCTGCTGGGCTCAGTAACTGGAAAACCTGGAAGGTCAAATGAAGTGGCGGCCATAGTGGCGGCAGCACAGCAGGTTCAGACACGCTCGCAGCAGCCCAGGGGTCCCACGCCTCACAGGCCCTCTCATTAAAGCTAAAAGAGGAGCTCTCTGGCACAGGCCCCTCTTTGTCCACAGCCTGGATGCCATGACTGTTGTGGGAAAAAAAGAAAAGAATGAAATGAACGAAGGCTGGTTGGTCACTTGGCTGGTTAGTTGGATGCCTCGGGGGCTCTGTGGAATTACTGACCAAGCTACAATGTGGTCGATGGTTTATTCCTGGAGACAGAGCACTAATTGTGTTTTTTCATCAATGAGTCACTATAAATATAGGTCTTTATTTGCATCATTAGCCCTGACGTAGCCACTGGCTTATGTTATTGTTTCTGGTCCAGATAAAGTCTTCATCTTGTGTCTCTACTCGTTCTTTCAGGCTCATGGCCACCCGATTCACAGCGGTGGGGTCCAATATGTGCCTGAGGCTTTGGAGCAGCAGAACCAAGTCCAGAGTCTCCTGTCTGAGCCCCACAGCCACCAGAGGAGGTGGTCCCACCCCCAGCACCGCTCCGTTGGTATTCTTCCACAGCCCGAGCCTGAGGAGGAGACCAAACCCTTCATCCTGGACCTCAAGAACTTTCCAGACCTGGCCAATGCTGACATCAACTCACAGAACCCCAACATACAGGTGAGTCTCAGACAGGCTGATATATGAAACAGGTGCAGTGCCCGTTCGGGACTTGCCCGTTTGGAACAAGGCGTATTGCATGGCCCTCAGAAGGGCTCATCGCAGGGCTGTCGAGAGCCGCTCATTGCTCATTGACTCCAGGGAAGTGAAGAAGAGTTTGGTTGTAACGTTAGTGTATCCATCTTTCAGCAGCAACGTGAAATGTGAATGAGTGAATGAGTGAATAAAGGCCCGACGGCAGAGCCCTGAAGCCCTGCTGCACAACATTTATTAAAAGGTAAAAAGATGATGGTTCTGGCTCGGACTAGAGATTTCTGTACCAAATAAAGTGACGATGGAGCAGCAAAAAAGCTAATTTGGACACAATTGAAAATGACGTAAAAACGATGTAGACGTGTATACTGTAGATTCCTCTGGGCCCACAGAGTCCAGCAGAAAATCATTATGTTTTTGAGACTTATGGTTACAGGTTACAGGGGTGTATTGCTGGGGACTCCCCCACAAAGTGTGAAGTAGTCGATTGTTATTGTTAGCCTTTTGTTGAGTTAAATTATCTATTTCCTTATTATTTCCTTAATGTGTAAGAAAACAGTCTTTCAGTCTAATCTTAGTAACCCAGCTGCATATTATTTTGCTATTATTGAATTAAAGGCTCTGTAGTCATAGGTGTGAGCCATTGAGTCCTCATCATCTTCTAAATTGACCCAAAATGTTCAAAAGTGATCAGAATGTGGTTAGAGGGACATGAGAATGTCTACATCAAGTAGAGAAACCTATGTCATGCCTGATCACTTTTCATGTAGCAAATTCTGACTCAAAAATATATTCAACTAAGACGAATGACAGCATTTCCAATCCTCATACATCTTTCCTAACTGTGAAATTGAGTTCACAACAGAACAAAAGGATTTCCCCTGTAGTCTCCCTGTTGCCTGGTCTTCACATCAGCTGAAGTGGGCCCTTGGAAGTACTGTAACATCGAGGATGAGTCATATTGACTAATGAGAGGTAGTTATCCAGAATAAATGCTCATATTCCCTCCCTGAGCGGATCGCTTGGTTGGCTGAATACTCATGCTCACGTCTGGCTGGCTGACTTAGATCAGTGGGTTCGCTTGCTAAAAAACTTCTCAGACGATTTGAGTTGTAACTCAAAAGTATTGGAGGTACTTTTCGTTTTTTATGACACATTATGGCAAAATCACAGTCAACGCGGCGATACTGGACAGTTCAATGTCTTGTTGTGTCATTGTCTTCTACTCACCGTTAATAAGTCATGTCTAAGTTTGCTTTGCTAGTTTAGACCAATAGGAGAGAGTTGTTAAGCAAATATTGATACTGTCCAAGATCAGATCAGTGACACACATACTTCAGATTGATTCTATTTCTGCGTAGGTAACCATTGAGGTGGTGGACGACCCTCAGATGGAGGTAGAGATGGACCTTGCCAAGGAAAAAGACTGGCTACCTTCTTCTTCCTCCTCACCCTCCTCCACAGTGGATTGGCTCGGAGGCAAGAAGCTTTTCTGGCCTCTTTTTTGGAGTTACACCGACAGCGATTCCAGCGAGGACAGCAACAGCCGGTCAGGCATGGAGGAAACTGGCGAGGAAGAGGAGGAGGATTACTCCCTGGATTACGGTAGTGAAGAGCCATTACCCAGCGGAGTGGGCGGAGACTGGGATACACGTTGGAACGAAGGCTGGGATCCAATGCAGAGCTACTATGGTAAGGTTTGCCAAGTGGTACACTGGCTGTCTGCTAGTACAGCCACACAGCTCTTTTAGATATGACTTCATCACAATGATTATGGCTTTTAGAAAAGGACCAAAATGTATCCTGTGAGTTTTACCAAAGAAGGGGAATGCAAAAGGGGAAAGTATGGAAATACAGTTACTGAATTTATCATATGAAAAAAGAGATGGAAATATCTGGAAGGAGAGAAAGCGAGACAGAGAAGTACAGAGTGGCTCAGGAAGGCTGCATGATAACTGTCTTCACAGTCAGAGAGAAGCAAACGATGCCAGCAGGCAGCATGAGCATTGGACCATCAGGACATTGTGGGTAATGCGTACTTTGAAGTGGACACTGGTCGTGCTGGGTAGAGGCCTGCCTTTTGAAGATGGGTCCGATGCGCTCGCTAATGGCAGCGTGAGGCCGCCACTGTTCCCTGGGACAAAACAGCACTCTGCCTGTGGACAATTAGGGGGCAGATTTGGAACACAGAATGACAGGGGCCATTCGGTCGGCCCTTTTCATCCTTCACCGGGACCCCATGCCCCCACCCCCACCCCCAGACCCTGGCGGCCCTTACTGCCTTCTGCGGCTCAGCCTTTAGAGCCAGTTCAAGAATTCCGGGGGGCTTTCAGGGCTCTGCATAACTTTTACAGCTCTTTCCCCCCTCTTAATTCTGCCTTCCTCTGGTGGGAAAACATGTTGTGTCTCAGCCTGCACAGACCACTTATTCATTGGTAAAGATAGTAAATAATTAGGGAAAGAGAAAGGTGTACATAGTGAATGAAAGGGAGAGAAGAGGAAGAAGAGAAAGGAAAAAGAACGGGCAAGGCAGTGTGTGATTCCTACTGTAGATCAGAGAGCAGTCATGGGCTCACCACAGCCGGAGGCTTCATTCTTCAGAGATATTTCACATCAATACAAATCTGTACATGATCGGTCTATTTGTTTTCAAAGGTTGTTGCACTAACCTCTACTGTTGTGTTGTCATCTCAAAATGTGCTAGCAGGTGGCGAGTTTGGGCTAGTTTTTACTCTTCATACCAATATATAGATTTGAACTGTTGTACATGTAGTCGAGCCAGCAAAAGGCAACAATGCCTATTAAGTGGTCACATCTAAAGGCTCTGAACATAAATCAAAGATGTCTGTCGTGGCTCCTTCTCTAATTAAGACTCTCCTGAGACCTCATTCCCGTATGGCCACATGGCGAGTTGGCAGCGCCCACAAAGTCAAATTGGGTGTTCGCTACACCCAAGCTGGTATTTCTGCACCCACCTCGCCTTTAATCAAGAATGACTTGTTTTCAGTGTTATTAACACCACAAGGAAACATGGTGCCGAGGCGGACAGCCACAGCACAGCTTCTCTCTCTAATTTGACTGAGGCCTTCTTAAAAAGAATATGGGTTTGCATGGGAAAGGCTGGACCAGGAGAAAATTGTCATTCATATGGAATGAGACAGTCCAGCCCTGGATAAGACCGTTGAAGTACATACTGAGGTCTCTTTAACACAAAACTCTATGGTGTTTTGTTGTATGTGTTTTCTGAAATAGTTTCTTATCAGTTTGTTAAATACAGTACATGTATTTATTGTAATCTGTGCCAGGAAGCATGATGTAGAGCTCCTCTAACTGTACATTGAATTCCATGCTTTCCTTTTGTATTCCTCTCAATATGTAAATGATATTGTGCTTAGTAGAATCTTTTTGTTTTGCTTCAGTTTGTGGCACCAACAGTGTTTGCATTTTGTTTTTCTTTCCACAGAGAAGGAGACAGATGAGTGGACTCCCTGGTCTCCGTGTTCAGTGACATGTGGAAACGGTGAGAGGAAGAGGACTAAATCCTGTGGCTACTCCTGCACTCTGACAGAAGCCTCCAAGTGTGACCTGGAGCCTTGTCCTGGTGAGAATATATTTCCCTTTCAATAGAGAAACATAATAAACCAAAGCCAGAGTATTTACATATTTATATTCTACTTTCCCAGCTGTTTTTTTAATCTACAGCTGATGTATCGCTCTTCTCTTTGAAGGTGATGTCAACACTGTGGTAGAGCCTTTCCCTTTTGAGATGGAGAATGGTACAGAGCCATTTGGTACAGGTGAGTTTTTCTAATGGGAAGTTCTCCATAGCATCTTTCATTAGCTTAAAGGGTCGCACCATATTTTAACCCATTAACTGCAAGCTGTTTATACTGTACAGTCCACAATCTACAATCAAAGCCAGTCAGATATATCCTGTTGTTGTAGTTACCTCTTTGGCTAATGGATTATGGGGGTCACTAATCGGCGGACCTCGGTCAGGACCCTGTTCCTCATGGACCTATAACCAATAGATAATTGAGAATTATTACATTTTTACAGAGCACTTCTATTTTAACAGGTGCAGCTTTTCCAGCCTTTACAGCACTCTTCAGCGGTCCAGAAAATATACCAACCAATTATATGCGTTGTAAATCACATCACGTGATGCTACTCAGCCAATCACATATGGGTATTCAGATAAGCATGTGATATACACACAGGAGAGAGATGAGACGAATAGTCGGAGAAGTACTTGAGTCAGACGTTCTCCAAAAAGAGAAAAGTGGACAGAGAGACCAGAGCCTTTGACCACGAATGGACAGGCTGTTATATGGACAGTTTAAAACCAGTATGTCTCATGTTCAGAGTGGTGATTATTAAAAGCAGTAATGTGAAGCGCCAAAGACAAAGAACATATCTTTTGAGCAAACGTACCCACTCAGATCTGAAATAAAGGCACAGAAAATATACAATCTAAGAGCCCAATATGATCAGAATCCCAACACGTTAATTCACTGACCAACAATGATGTTAACACTGTCGGGAACGAAAAGGTGTGTTTGAGTTATCAGCATATAAGAAAAACTAAATTATTGACATCAATAGAATTATTAATGTCAGTAAGATTATTAATAATAACGGGGCACCACCCTGAGAACAGGGACCAATAACCAAACGATAAACTAAGTCTCATAATTAGTGTTCACTCACAATGTCAACAGTCAACATACTGTTACACATTCAGAGTGAAAGTGAAGGTGTTGAGTACGAGCACAGGCCACATATCAGCTATCATCACAATACACATGCACAAAGTAATCACAGACAGCTGCTCCTTAAAGTATAACAGTTTATTAAGTTCCAGTAATAATGATCTAGTCAACTAAGATCTAAAACTAACAACAACTATACATCTATGAGCATCTATGAACGTGGCACGTCACGTGGGACTACAAGTGGAAGATAGACTATCACATGGAGGGGTAGTTCCACTCGTGACCACGCATCGCGAGACAATAGACATCTCGTTATCTCCATGTGTCTGAGGTAGTTAGCTCAACTATATGTGTGTGTGTGTGGGTTAGTAGAAGAAGAGAGAAAGCAAACAAAACAAAATAAATCCTCCAAAACTAGGCAGATCCTCACCACCGATAAAATACGAAAATCGTGATTCTACCACACAGAAGTTTTGCTGACGAAGTTTAATTCAGCCGGCCGTGATCCTGATTACTTTTACTCACTCGCGGTGACTGATCTATTACACCATATTTGCAGCAGTATGAAATACACAGTCATTTCTACATTAACGATCTTGGTCTTTAATCTCGGCCATTATTGAGCATACACAACAGAACTAGGGTTTTCTTTTAAAAACAGCAATGTTGTGTTTCCGTGCTTCCTTACCCCGACGCGAGTCAGAGGGAAGAGCAATGTTTCAGGTGTCCCTGGTTATGTTATAAACTCTGTGACTTCCGGTCATAGAAGTCCCGCTTCGGTATCCCAGGCCTCGTCCAATGAGAGCAGCGCTGAGTTTTGGTCAACTGAAACTCAGGATTCACAGGATTCTTGGGGGGTTTGGTGTTTTATCAACCCAGATCAGGCTTTTGGCTAAACAAGCTGGCCTAAGTCAGATCCCTTTGTTTCAGAGCACATGGTCAGCCCCAACAACAGAGAGGATAGCGCTGAGACAAGTGGTTTAATAACCACAGATAAAGTCCCTGCCTCACACATTTATCATTTTAGAAGATGAGAAGAATATAATATATAATATCGTGGCTTTTTGGGTTGATCACTTCACACCTGAATGAACTGAATTTAAAGCTGCAGGACAAAGACAATTCAGTTAAATACATTTTTCAAAAGCTTTCTGTTATGTATTACATTTTTTTATCCAGTCCTTATTTTACTTGAAATGAGAAAAGAACATGTATTTATTATTAGAGTATGTATTATTTATAAGTCATCCAGTTCAATTTGAAATCTGACAATAAATATTGTTGAGATAACATTCAATTGAACTTTCTTTATTTCATCACTTTGTCAGTTGTTGACTACATACAGATGTTAATATAACTGCTAGGCTACTTCAATATATATATGGGACTAAATGATAACGCCAGTTAGACATTGTTGTGATGATCTGGACCTTTGCATGAGGAAATTCTCTCTAAATGGATTATAGTAACACGCCCCTGATATGCTGTCACAGGGGAATGTAGCACTAGTGTGGAGCAGTGCAGCACTGTAACATAGATGTTTATAGATGCCAGACATTGGATCCAAACTTGACTACTAAGTGGCCTCTGTTAGTGCGACCATGAACAACTGTAACAAACTATTGCTGTCCTCTCTCCAATAGATGTGGACAGCTGTGAGAAGTGGCTCAACTGTAAGAGCGAGTTCCTCCAGAGGTACCTCCACCAGATGTTGTCTGAGCTGCCCAGCTGCCCCTGCTCCTTCCCCTCTGAAGTGGCGTACACTGTGGTCAGTATCTACGATGAGAACCACGGTCGACAGTTCCGCTGGCGTGACGCCAGCGCCCCCAAGGAGCGCCTGGACATCTACAAGCCGTCAGCGCGTAGCTGCATCCGCTCAGCACTTTCCGGCGACTCATCTACTCTCGCAGCGCAGCACTGTTGTTATGGTGATCGTGGCCGGCTGATCACGCGTGGGAAAGGTGCAGGAATGCCTAACCTGATCAGCACTGAGTTTTCACCTGAGCTGCACTTTAAAGTTGACGTGCTGCCTTGGATTCTCTGCAAGGGAGACTGGAGTCGCTTCCATGCTGTGCGGCCACCAAATAATGGATTGAGCTGCGCAGAAAACCCCCATGAAGACGTGTTCATGAATGAACTGGAAGAGGCCAGGGAGTACTGAGGGACCACAGCCAAAACTACCACTTCACTCAGAGAGTCAGGGGGCCCAATCCTAATTTGAGAGGAGACTGTGTTCTTTAAAAGTCATGAAATGTTACATCTGAACCATCATGCATTAACCGAGCACTGACGCAGAGGAAATGCACATTTGTGGTTAGGATGGTAAAGTGTGGCTGTCTCAAGTTAGGATTTGGCAGAGTGTCCTGATATCAGGCTCCACTGAACTGAACTGAATTACAAGAATGGAAAAAAATGCAGTGTTCTCCCATCGCTTGCCAACCTGTTTCACATCTGGCATAACAACAAGGTCTCTCTTTATATTCACACTCTCCTGGGTGCGTGTTAGCATGATGTCTACATACTGGCTTTTTGATGATGATTGACAATAGCAACATATGGTAAACATCCAGATAATGCTTCTCGTAGGCTTTACATTAGAAAACCAATAAATGTGGGCTGGTTATATTGATGAAGCAAACACACGTATGGGAAGAGTCCAACAGAAGAATATCCCAATTATGCTGCTACAATATAAAATCCTTCAGGTTTTACAAAGGTATTAACAAGACAACAGGACATCGGGAAACCCAAAAGATGCCACCTGCATTACCAGTAATCTACATTTCAGCCATTCTTTTGGGACACAAAAAATGTAGTAATGTTAGAAGAATTTAAGATCTCACAGAGAGGTAAGCTACAAGGATTAGAAACATTGTGCTGTCTGCTGAGAATTCTGAGAATATCCCATTAGCATTAATGGTCCTGGAACAGCACATTTGATTGAAAATGTTTTGTCACACAGATTGATTTCATATGTTTCCTCACATTTTAACAACCAGGAAGATATATGATCTGGGTGCCAAAGAGTTAAAAATCAGATTTGCGTAAATCCAGCTCCCAAATCTCTATGGCGCAAATGTAGGAAATATTCTGTTCTACAGTGAGTGGATTGTGCTCATAGATCTCTACAATGTTCTCAGGGGGACTAACTGACCATGATAAACTCATTTGTTACATTACAGTCACTTAGCAGACGCTTTTTTATCCAAAGCGACTTACAATTCTATCCTCTAATCCTATCACATTCACACACCGTAGGCACAGCTACGGGAGACATTCGTTCATTTATCTCGGCAGCCGAGCACTATTGGAACTAGTACAAAGTGTTTTGGGAGGAAGATTAGGAGAAGCGTATCGGATGTCTAATCCTGATTGTAATTGATGAACAGATAATGCTTTTTGTGCAGTTTCAAATATAAATTGGAACCCTTAGAACTGAATAGTTGATGCATTGTGTGTGGTAGAAAGATGCCATTGATACTTAAACTGTTGGCTTAGGGTCCTTGGGTTTATGAACATAAGTTGATTGGATAGAAAGGACAGTCCTACTTAAATAATAAACCCTGAGAGGTCATGCAGTTGGAGCTTTTACCCTAGAGGGCAGGGTAAGGAAACATGGAAGTAGTCACCTTTAGCAAATACCTCATAAGATATAGTGCAAAGGATTGAAAAAATATGTTGAGCATAATTAGAATAGTTTTTAGCATTGCAGCAGTAGCCGTGTTAACACTCTGCACCTCACACAGTGGCAGTGTTGTTAAACGTACACATTAAATACCTTCAGATTTCAGGACTGCACTTTCTATCCAGTCTTATTCTATGGGTGTTCACTCCAAACCTTTTCAGGAATTCTGCCTCCAGATGTGTAGAACATACATTTACATTTTGGAATCAAAAAATTTTGGAATTAAAAAGGAAGGCACTTTATTTAAGATATATATACACAAAAGATTTATTGAAATCACGACTCATGTTGGCCATTTGTTGATGATAGTGTTATTGTGAAGGGAAACGCGTCAGAAATACTGCATTGTTCTATGAAAGTGCACATATCAAGTGTTCTGTTGAGGAAAGCATGATCTTGTTGTGATTTCTGAATCTAGTATTACATGGTGTTGTACAGTATTTATTTGTCTGTTCTCTTTTTTAAGTTTGCTGAAGCTTTGAAATGTCTCTCTACTCAACATGGTGCACTAATCTGATGCAGAAATGAAGGCACCCATTATCAAAAGGGAAACCACTTGCCACATATCACTTCATACAGCAACATCAAGTGTCTTTTTCGTTCTACTTTGTACTGCAGTGCTTCATGAATGTGTTGTTGCAATTATGCTGAAGAAATATATAAAGACCTTGCATTCATCATCTGACTCTTTAATGTGCCGTTTCTTTTTCCACACTTTGGATACTGTGTCGTGGAGCCAAGCATAGCATAGCACTGGAGAGCAACATTCCTTAAAACTCAACTGAGTAGTTCTTTTATTGACTGACATAGCAAACCATTCCGTAACTTTCCTTTTCCTCTCCAACGAGACAGGTACAGTGCATCAAGCATTCCCTTTCGGAGCAAACATGTCACTTCCTTCTTTGCAGCAACAGGCTAAATATTAAGACATCCATTGGGAGCTACTGTACCAAGACCTGCCAGAAATGAAGTGTGACAGAGCATTCAGGCTTCTATTTCCGGTAGGCCGGCCGGCCAGAAATGTTTGAATCCTCCTTCATATCAGGATTTTAGCAAAGAATAGATTTACGTTCAAAGACTAGTTTGACATTTGGGGAAATATGCTTATTTGCTCTCTTGCCGAGAGCTAGATGTAATTACAGGCATTTGAGTGATTGATACCACTCTCATGACTGTACGATAAATATGAAGCTACAGCGAGCGGACAGTTAGCTTAGCACATCCTAAGGTAACAAAATCTGCCTCCCAGCTCCTCTGGTTCCTGAATTGAACCAATGCGAGGATGATACATTGATCGCATTTTTTCAACTGGTCCAGTTGAGCACTGTACCCACCCCGTCTAACTTGGAGTAACCCTGGATCGTACTCTCTCCTTGGAGCACATCAACAATACAAAATCCAAAGTCGGTTCCCGAAACCACATTCTACGGAAACTGACCAGCTCCAAATGGGGAGCCACAGCACATACATTAAGATGTACTGCTCTGGCCCTGTGCTATTCCTCTGCGGAATATGCATGTCCAGTTTGGGAGAGGTCAACCCATGCCAAGAAACTTGACCCAGCACTGAACAACACCTGCCGCCTGATCACTGTCTGCTTGAAACCCACCAACACAAGAAACCTTCACCTCCTCGCTGATATTAAACGGGAAGTTGCCAGTCGAGTCGAGAAAATCTACTAGTGATGAACGCCATCTCCTCCATAGATGTCACCCCCCCCGGCCCAACAGCTAAAGTCAAGAAGAAGCTTTCTCAGCCATGTCCAGCCCCGAACAAAGTCTCGGGAAGAAACCAGAATCCAACTCTGGAGGGAAAAGCTTGAGAATGACCCTCCTCCAACTGTCATGGGAATACCCCCCACTGAAAACCTTCCCCCTGGCCCAGAAGCACCATGGGCTCAATGGAAAACACTAAACTGCCTCAGAACGAGAACGGGACGATCAACAGCTGCTCTGGTCAGATGGGGCTACAAGGCTGGCCCAACCACCTGTGACTGTGGAGAAGCAGACCATACTATGGAGCACTGCCTTGTCTGCCCTCCACTACGCAACCCTTGCAACTCAAAAGACCTTGCAGTGTTCAATAACAATGCAAAGGACTGTGTAAAGAAATGGGAAACTGTCATATAACCACCACGCTTCAGTGAAACAAAAAGAACTGGTCCGGTTTGCAAACACAAAGGCCAAACTCAAATGGTCCAGAAAAACAAAAGTCATGTATGGAGTGGAAACGTCATTTGATTATTACGCATGTGATGGTTGTAAAATTGTACTAATTTAGCAGCTGGCTAGTTAGCTAGCTAGCTTGCTAAATCGACCATGCTTTCATGCTACACTGGTTACAGAAAGTGAGCCGAACAGTGGGCTAGTTGGACCTAAACGGTCTGTCTGTCACAGGGTGTAATAGCTAGCTAATTATTGACTCATTTTTTAGATCCCTGAAATGACACATAAATGTCTTCCTGTGATTGTTTCGATGGTGTTCACACCAGAAATGAACCGCTCCAGAGTTCACTTGACTGCAGTCCGAGACATCCCCTTCCAGGAAATCCACAGATCGGTTTGTTGGTGCAATCTGGTGTTCACACCAACCCAAACCAACCGCATCAAGGTGGTAAATGCTCCAGGCCGTGTTGCCAGATCAGATTGCCAGTTTTTCAGCCAATCGCGAATGAAAACCAGCCCAATTAAGAAAAGCCCAGCCCAAAATCATAACCTTGCCTGAAACCCATAAAACCATTACATGTGCAATAGAAAACACATCATAAGCATACAAAGCTTCATATCTATATTAAATGACCAAAAGATCAACTTTTAGATAAACAGGCTATCGCAACCCACAAATAGTGCAAATCTCAATTGTCGTTGATGACGTCAATTTAAGTAGGTCCTCAGTTATCCCTTAAGAACAATTGAATACAACTCACGTCAATCAAATATTTTTCAAATTAAAAGAGTTGATAATATGAGTGAGTGGACACAACAAATATTACATTATATTGTTATAATATATTGTTTGGAGCCCAACAGCATTTTCCCAGCTCAATTTAATCAAGAGCAGCCCATTTGGCCAGAAAACCAAATCAAACCAAATCTGGAGACAATGGCTCCAGGTTTGGTCCAACTGGACTAAACGAGGCTGTGCGAACAGACCCTGCCCTAACGTCAACCTACCAGCTCTGCCTGTTTTTCACTGTTTCCTGTCTTTTTGCTAAGCTAGGCTTCATATTAATTAAGCATATTCCCCAAAAATGTCAAACTATTCTTTTCACATAAAACTCTTCTTTGCTATTATATTCCCCAAGATGTCAAATTCCTTTATACGTCTATTCCCTTGTAAAGTGCTTTAACAGTTAAATACAAAGTCAGACCATCAGGTCCCTGTATTCAGTGGTGAGCGTCATGTCCACTTAACTGAGCTGGTGGAAGCTGGGATGCTAAATGGTTTAATAATCTGTACACCATTTGTGGCTTTGTGTGTTAGCAGCTGCCTTGATGAGAAGTAATGCGTATCAGGACAGGATTCAATTAAGAATCATGCATGAGTTCTCTTGCTAGCATGTGTTAGCAGTGAGTGCACTTACTATGTGAACCAACAGCATTTCTAGTTTACTTTGTTTTTATCGTCTGTGTTCTCAGTCCAACATGGGTTTTCTTTTTAAATTGACTTCACGTCCAGAAGTCAAAAGTCCTAGTAACATGTTCTGTCAGTCTTCTAAACAATCAACCACAGCTTTTTTAAACCTTGCATGCTTCACAATTCTGTGGGAATTCTTCCGGTGATTCACAGGAGTGACACTTTTTTCATGAATAAGACTTTCAGTTGTGGTTGTGGCCCAAAGTTTTAGAGTGCAAGCAAGAGCACGATGGATAGCAGTGTTGGCTAGAAATTCCTGTTTATCGATGTTCCAGAAAAGACCAGCTGGATATCAAAATCATGCAGAAGGTTCCACTCAACCAGACAGAAAAAGTCCTGCTAATACATAAATGAAACCTCTTAAGCCCCTGCATGCCTTAACCAACAGCCGCCATCCCTGTCATCCATCTCCTCTGTGGTATCTAGGTTGATCTTTTTCTCCCATCATGTTCTCCGAGGCTATACTCTATCCAGAGGATTAAATAACATTGAGATTAAAAGTTCAAAGGTCAGGGTAATGCAAATCCATAGGTTTAAGCAATCCCAATACTCCATTTAGATACTTTAATTCCTGTAGGTCATGATGTCTATCATTGACCCAAGTGAAGAGCCTGGTTATGCGTTTACAATAGAACATTAGGTGAAAAGATGGACACAGTTAGCAGAGAATGTACTAATGTTATGTGCAGAAGCAAAGAGATACTTAGAAATCCATCCGTGTGTTGAGTATCTACTGTGGAATGAACACTAAGGAGCTTGGTAGGTCTACTATGGTCCTTCATTGACTCCTAAGTTGACTACAGATGAGTGCTGAGTGGATGGAAGCCAGACACATGTGGACCACATTTCTGCCGCAGAATAACAGATAAATAACCTCAGATGTGTAAACAGAGGAGAAAGCAGAGAGAGAGAGAGAGAGAAAGATGAAAGAGAAAGGAGGTTCAAAACTCTGTGGCTAAAAGATGTTATCTGAAATATTGAATGGAGCACGAGTTCCCGGGCGGCTGCTTTTAAAAACCTGCTGAATACACTTCACAGTTAGTGGAGGGTGTGTGTGTCATGTTACTGTGGTTATACAGAAGTCCAAGCCGACCATTGTATTTCAATTTAGCTTGGATTGTTTCACATACAAAATGTGAAAAAATTGGATTATCATCCAAATTTCTGAATGCATGCTTTGTAGCGCACCTACATTTTAGTGAGTGAATGTGTGATGGGATTCATTCCTTTAGTTGTGGCGCTGGTGGCCCAGGCCCCGTGCCAGCGCTTGGTTACAAATCTGTTTACTTTTGTAGGCTGGCAGGAACATGAGATTTCCTCTGGGTGTACTTCGGCTGGTTAACCGGCAAACAGCATGGCCCTTCAAGTCCCTCGCTGCTCCCACTACAGGCGGCCTTGCCCCTCCTTCACATCACTTGTGCTGAGGGTAACCCCAGCCCACGTTAACAAACATACACTCACACACTAACAAGGCTTCAGAGAAAAACAGCCCTCATGGAAACACACATATTGCATTGATTGTGGGCCGTGCATTTTATACCTGGGCCTTCAGTGCTGTCCTACTACAGTTGAACCACCTCCTAATAACCTCATTATGACGCCACAGCTACAGGTTATTAGGGGTGTAACAATACAGGTATTCATATCGAACCATTCGGTACGAGGCTTATGAACAGAACAATATGTTTGAATAATACTAGTACATTTGGAAAATGAAGAAGCTTCATTTGTGGGAAATATAATGTTTTCGGTGGACTTCGCTCAACCTGGCAACCCATCACGTAAGAGACACTCTGACCCTGGAAACAAAACATTGTACTCTGGTGAGGCGCCTGTGTACTGGGAGGCGCGCTAAACTAGCTTAGCAGGAAAACAACAGCAGCACACACGCTACAAACTCTCCCCGCAGCGTTGAGCTGTTCCCT